GTTTTTTTACCATTATTTCATTAGTAATCTGTTTCTGTCATCTTCTTCTGGCTTTCTAATGGTACACATGTTTGCTATTTCCCCACAGGTCACATATGGTTTGTTCATTTGTTTCTGTCATTTTTACTCACCATGCTTAATTTGAATAGTTTCTCTTGTTGCATCTTCCAGCTTATTGCTCTTTCTTTCTATAGTACTCTAACATGCTGTTAATCCTATTCAATGTATTTTTAATCCTAACATTGTGTTGTTATCTCTAGAAGTTCCATTTGGGAACTTCCATTTCATATCTTTCATTTCTCTCCTCATCTATTCATATTTTCTTCTTAAACATCTGAGTCATATTTTAATAGCTGTTGTATTTTCCCAATGCTTAGTAATGTTGGATGTTTTTTAATATCTGTTGGACATTTGCATGTCTTGTGAGAATTATCTCTTCAATTTTTTTGCCCATTTTTATAGTTGGGTGATTTGTTTTCAGGCTTTTGAGTTGTTTGAGTTCCTTATGAATTTCGGAAATTAATTCCTTATCAGATGTGTGGTTTGCATATATTTTCTTCTGTTTTTAGGCTATCTTTTCACTCTGTTTACTTCATTCTTCAGAAACTTTTTTTAAAATATACTTTTTAGTTGTTGATGGACACAATATCTTTATCGCATTTATTTATCTTTATGTGGTGCTGAGGATCAAACCCAGGGCCTCACACATGCTAGGCAAGCACTCTCCTACTGAGCTACAACCCCAGCCCCTGCAGAAGCTTTTTAATTTCATATCATTGCATAGGCTTTTGGGATCATATCCAAAAATATTGCCCAGACCAGTATCATGTAACTTTTTCCCTGTTTAGTCCTAGTAGTTTTATATTTTCAGGTCTTACATTTAAGACTTTGATCCATTTTGAGTTAATTTTTGCATATGATGTGAGATGAAGGTCTGATTTCACTTTTCTGCATGTGGATATATCCATTTTCTTCAGCATCATTAATTGAAAAGACTATTTATCTATTGTGTATTTTTGGCATTTTTATCAAAAATCTTTAGACCATAAATGTATGGATTTATTTCTGGTCTATTGTGTTTCATTGGTGTTTATATCTTTTTTTATATACTGTTACTATGCTGTTTTGATTACTATAGCTTTTCAGTAGTTTCTTTAATCAGGAAGCATGAGCTCCTTACCTGACTCTGGTATCCAGGTAGTGCTGGCCTTGTAAAATGAGTTTAGAAGTTTTCGCTCCTCTTCAGTTTTTTAGAAGATTTTGAGGATTGCTGTTAGTTCTACTTTAAATGTTTGGTAGATTCAGCTGTGGAGCCATTGGGTTCTGGGCTTTTGTTAAGAAATTATTTAATTAACTGATTCAATCTCCTTGTTCATTATTTGTCTGTTTAGATTTTTCTATTTCTTTCTAATTCAGTCTTGGTAGTTTGTATATATCTAGCAATTTACATATATATATATGTATAAATATAGCAATATTTATATATATATGTATAAATATAGCAATATTTATATATATCTAGCAATTTACTATATCTCTTTGATGAATTCACTCTTTATCATTATATAATGACCTTCTTTGTCTTGTTATTACTTAACATCTGTTTTATATAAATATTAGCATCTGCTGTATGTCTTTTTTACATCCTTTTCTTTGAACCTGTGTGTGTTTTTTAAAGGTGAAGTGTTTTGTAGGCAGCATGTAATTGGGTCTTTTTGTTTCTTAAATATATTCAACACATTGTATGTTGGTCTGCACACTTGAAGAAACAAAGATTTATTCTAGTCTTTGTGTACTGACTTTTTCTGGACAGGCCATTTGTCATGGTCCATGGTGGGCTTGTTGATGGAGTCTTCAGGCTGACTGATCTGGTGCTGAGTCTTTGTAGTTGGGCCTAGAGCCTGGATCCACTGGCATCAGCCTATTGACTGAGTCCTTGGGGGTGGGCCTGGAACCTGGGTTTACAAGGGTAGGCCTAGAATCTTTATCTGTGGTGGTCTGGCCTGAAGCTTAAGTCCAAGTGGCTGACCTGGGGCTGGAGTTGTTCTTGAGACTGAGACTGCAGAAGGCAGCCAGGTTCTATGGTGGGCCTGGTGCTTGGTCCCTCAGGAATAAACCTAGAGCCTGAGTCTGCAGCTTGGATTGGTGCTGCGCAGTTTTGGAGCCTGAATATATGCAGGGGATAGGCCTGAAAACTGGGGCCATGAGGGCTGACCTGGGTCCTAGTGTTGCAAGGCTGACCTAGAACCTGGGTCCACAGAGGTGATCCTGGGGTCTGGTGTTAAAGGGACTGGTCCAGCACTAGGGTCTGTTGGGATGGGCCTGGATCCTGGGTGTGTTGGACTATGGAGGTACAGTGGCTAGCTTATTTATGGGTGGGGCTTATGGGGCCTGGCCTAGAACTGGGTAGTTGGACTGCACTTAGAGCCTGAGTCTTCTTAAACCATAGTCAAAATTCAAAGGTAAGCTTTGTTCTAGGTGTAGGCTAAAGGAAATGACGTACAGCAGATAGACTTCTCCGAAGCATTTAGTGGCTGAGACCTAACTAGCAAGTAGGCTTCCCTAGCCCTGCTGTTGACCAAGTAGGTGGTGAAGGCCTTGTGTAGCTGTTTTAGTCCATTTTCTATTGCTATAACCTAATACCACAGGCTGGATAATTGATAAAGTAAGAGATTTGTTTAGCTCATGGTTTGGAAGTACAAGATGATGGTGTCAGCATCTGCTTGTCATCTGGTGAAGTCTTTTTTGCTGGATCTGACATGTTGTCAAAGGTAAAGACTGAGTAGGTTTGCCTACTCTTCTTATAAAGCCATTAATGCCATCATGAAGACCCTACCTCATGACCTCATTTAATTCTAATTATTTCCCAAATGGCTTGTCTCCAAATACAATTAACATATGACTTTGGGGAGAATAAAAATTGTGGAATTTGCAGGTAAGTGGATGGAGCTGGGGAATATCATGCTAAGTGAAGTAAGCCAATCCCCCAAAACCCAAAGGCCAAATGTTTTCTCTGATATGTGGATGCTGATCCATAGTGGGGGCGGGGGTGGGGAGCATGGGAACAATGGAGGAACTTTAGATAGGGCAGGGCAGGGGATGGAGGAGATGGGACAAGGGGGTAGGAAAGACAGTGGAATGAAATGGACATTGTTACCCTAAGTACCTGTATGAAGACACAAATGGTGTGACTCTACTTTGTGTATAACCAGAGATATGAAAAATTGCGCTCTATACGTGTACTATAAATTGAAATGCATTCTGCTATCATATAAAACAAATTAGAATAAATAAATAAAATTTTAAAAACATATGACTTTGGGGATTAAATTTCAACATGAGTTTTGGAGGGGGCAAACACCTAGACCACAGGAATTGTTAAACTAGCATTTTGTTCACACTAAGTTCATCCTGGGAATAAAGACTGCTTTGGCAAGATTCTTATACTACTGTCAGTGCTAGCAAGAATGTAATAAGATGGACAGTTTTTTTACATCACTGGTAGGATTGAATTTTTATACCACTCTTCTGGAAAGTAATTTGGCAGAGTATTAAAAGGGCTTTTAAAATGTCCGTTCTCTTTGGTCTAGTTTTCATATTTATAGAAGTCTGTCTTAAAGAATCAGGAAAGTGAACATGAATTTATATTCAGAGCTCTTAACTGCTATGTTACTTATAATAGGGGAAAGTTGGAAAGAATCTGAATGTCTAACATAAGAAGAATGGTAAATCATGTCAGTTGTATAGCTACATGATGAAATATTTTGCAGCAAACTTTCAAATGCCTAATGACGCTGGAAAATGTTCATGAAACAAGGTTGAATGAAAAATCAACATTTTATATGCAGTATGATCCTTTATTTAAAAAAGAAAAAAATATATAAACATTTATATATGGTAAAAAGACCAGAGGTAAATACAACAAATTATCATCAGTGGTGGGATTATGGGTGATTTGTTTTTCTTTTTTAAACATGTCTGTATTGTTTCAGATTTTCTGCAGTGAGTCTATATGCCTTCTATAATCAGAAAAAAAAACAGTAAATGTTATAAAAATGTCTCTGCATACGCTACACTGAACCAAAAAAGACTGTTATTTTTCACAATTGGTGGGCAAAAAGTGGTTTATGTTAGAGTTGAATTTGCCAGTTATCATAATGTGCAAATGGATTTTGAATTCTCCAGCTTTTCACATTGTGTAGTGAGTATGGCCCACATTGCCAGCTCAGGCATATGAGCTCCAGCACGGCCCATCTGCTGCTCAAGCTTGGCTTGGCTGACACAGATTTATTTCATTTCATTCCTTAATTTGGCAATGTTTTCTCTTTTCTCATTATCATAGCTAGGATTCGAATCAGTGTTACTCATTTTGCTTACCAGTTTGTTGTTTTCTTCCATTTTGTGAAGACGAAGAAGCCAACAATGGACTTCTGTCTTCTGAAAATGCAGTGCTTGTCCTTTGGGATCTTGGGCATGTATTGCTAAAGTGCCCTCTGTTTCTGATGCTTGCAAGCCATTTCAATTGTTTTGATAAGTAGAAAATTTCATGGTGTATTTTTCAAAGAGCTTAGTGTTCTTCTCCCACCCTCACCTCAGAAGATTTGGAAATGATTCCAAATAGAAATTATAAACATTAGCCTTAAGCTAAGCTCTCTCCATCTGGTATTTGATGCATTTTTAAACTACAGGCTCATGTTATTTGTTCAGTCTTCATCAATACTGCAAAAGCACATGGAGTGAGACTGAACTCTGTCCCAAGCACCCTACACTAAGAAAGGATTTTCCTCTGAATTGGTTTGTATTTCAGAGAGCCCTGGGATAGTCAGCCAGATCGCTAGGAATTTGTTCAGTTGAAACTTTAGAACTATTAGAATCATCTTAGAGATTTCTTGAATGTGTTTGTTAGGATATGATGGCCATTGCTTGAGAATCCCCTCTGAGCCTAATACTTTTTTTGAAGAGACAGTCTTTGTAAGATTTTGTGCTGCTTTTCTCTCTAGGTTATCCAGAAGAAACTTATCCAATTTATGACCTTTCAGACTGTATCAAACGTAGACAAGAAACAATCCTGGTGGATTACCCTGATCCAAAAGAGCCCTCTGCTGAAGAAATAGCTGAAAGAATGGAAGTGATGGAAGAGGAAGAATCAGACCACTTGGGTTGGGAAGGTCTGCCCACTGACCCAAGAGCCCAGGAGGATAATTCTGTTATCTTGTGTGACCCAAAGCCAGAAACATGCTCCTGCTGTTTTCATGAAGAAGATCCTGCTGTCTTGGCAGAGAATGCTGGATTCAGTGCAGATAGCTACAGTGAGCAAGAGGAAGCCTCCAAAGAGGACTCTCCTGAAGACTTTAGAGATGAAGGGTTGGGCGTCAATGCTGATAAAACATTTACAAGTGGCGTGTTGAGGAAGCGTAACCCCCAGGGTTTAGAGTGAAAGCAGCCAGTTTGGTGAAGTATCCATTACTTTAGTCCCAAGGTGACCTTTCTCTTCTCTCTGATTTCATCCTTGGCCTCATGCCCTGTACTTTCTTTTCTGTGTTCAGATGTCATAGCTATCAGGCCACTACCATGGATATCATGTATCCTTCCTGGTGCTTACACACCTGTCACCTTGTAAAACATAGTCATTAGTATAAACACAGGATAGCTTCACTCTTCCTCTTCCTGTTTTTCCCGCATCAGGGAAGTTGATCCATGGAATAATTCTTTGGTCTACCATAGTTACATATGAGACTATCAAAAGGTCTGACTCTTCCTGCTAGGAGCAACAGGTTTACCTGTGAATGAACTCGGTTACAGATGATAGGACTTAAAGTGGTAAAAGTGAAGATTTTGGACTTCAGGATGCCTTATTCTTTGGGTCTTGAGCAGGATAGTGGTCCTCTGGGGAGAAGTGATCATTTTCTTTGTGTGGTCCATGGTCCTAGAGCAGAGCAAGACTCTGCTGGCTGAGCTGAAACTTCTTCATTCAGTGAAGGTCTTTCTCAAAACACTGATGCCCAGACATTCTCTTTTCTCAGACATCCTCTTTTCTCCGGAATAGTGGAAGACTTACCACTGACCTGTGAATGAGCCTGCAGGCCTATTTGGGTATTGTTTTGCTCTGACATGGCCTGGTTTTCTAGCTTCCTTTCTATTCTGCTATTCTATCCCCTTTTCTGCTTAAAAGACCAGGGAAACCCAGAGGCATCTTTGTACCTCTGGTCTTCAGCAGCCAGAGGAAGCTGTAGAGACTTTAGTCCCTGCCCTACAGGGGCTGTTTGGGCTCTGGGAAGGCCTGCCCAAGTGTAGTGATCCTGCTGGGAAGAGCTCAGAATGTCAGGGACCCAGTAATAAGAGAACCTGTGCACTCTTGTATAGTCCTTGCCTCAAAGCTGTTTCTTAACATTGTGCCCATTGGGAAATTGTTCTCAAAACGGCATGAATCAAGACAGAAATGAGGACTGAGCTTGTACACAAAGTGCCAACATAGCAGGGAAGTTGCACAGTTATCCATCACAGAGAACCAATATAGCCATGCCTTGGGGAAGAAACCATGTGTTCTCTATTTGAATGTTTGGGTCTTTTGAGAGAGCTGGGGAATGTAGGAAGTAAATTAGGACTGGGAGGATTTTGACCAGGCTGGAAACGTGTTTTAAGCTACCATTCAGCTCGTGAGACAAGATGGCACCTATGAATTCTGACAAAAAGGATGAGTGAATTCAGTTTATATGTAAGACCTGAGAGTTTAAGAGGACATGTTCCTGAGGACATTTTATCACATTATAAAATGAGAAAGATGGAAAACTTAAGAAATTGTATGAAGGTAGATATAGATTTTAGAGTTCCTTTGTGCCTGGCACGAATATGATGCCCAGCATATAGTTAAAATCACACGTGTAAGCTTAGACTACTGTCAGAAGGTATGTCGGTTACTACAAGGCATTACTTGTTAATTGAACTGTACATAAAAGTCAATGAAGATTGAGTCCTTAGAAAGAAGACCACAATGCATCTATCTCTGTGTAGAACATTTGTTTTACATTATAAAGAATGCTATTTAAAATGTACAGAAGACAACCTAGAATGCCATGTAATACTAAAGGTAAAAATAATGTAGGGTCCTCTTCACCATTTGGTAAATTGTTTTCTGTATGATTTTCCTTCATTCACCATGAGGGGCTGATTTATAAGTAAAGCCCTGGGTCTCTGGTTTAAATTTCTTTTTTGCCTTAGGATGTGATTCCCTTACTAGAAATAAGTACTTTTGTTTTCCTTTCAATTATTCATCCAGTCATTCATTTAGAATGAATTCATTTAAAACTTAAAACAACTAACTGCTCAGTGCTAGGTACTAGGAACAGAAGACTCAGTTCCTACTTTTAAAACAAAACAAACAAACAAAAAAACCCCACCTCAATTTAACATAGGAGCCTGACAGATAAAATGAACTATGAACTGTAAGACGAATCAAGATTGTGAATTCTGAAGGCAGAGGAAAATGGGTCATGATCTTTCCCTGTATACTCTAGCTATAGAACTTTGGGTCAGCTCCTTGGGCAGTCTGAGCCTTGGCATTTTCATCTATAAAGTAAGCATAATAAAAGTCCAGGTCTCACAAGGTTTTAAGTATTAAATGAAATCATCAGTGCATTTAAAATGGCATTGCTTCTAATTCATGCATGATAACCACTCATTGAGTAATAGCTGTTTTATTATACAGTGTTTTATGCTGTGATTTGGTATGGACCCAAAACTACAGGAACATTAAGGAAAGAGAAATAATATTGCCAAAACTGCTTCCAAGAAATTTTTCAGAGGTGGACCTTGGGGTATGCCAAGAATTTCTCCAAGTGGGCAAGGAAATAGTATTAGCAAAAGCAGTGAAGTAGAAAGTATATGGATGTTCAGGTATCTTGATGAGGCTGGTGTGTAAAGTGTTGCATAACCAATCTTGTGATACCCTATGGGAAAAAATGGCTTATGGAAATAGTTCCTGCCAAAAGCATTAAACCCTCATCATGGCTCCTGCTACCTAGATCTTAGTTGGTTTATCTATCAGGAATATATTTGTTTCTGTATCAAAAATTTTAACGTAACTTTTAGTTATTTAGGATTTAGACAGTGTTTTTTGGATTTTCTGAATTATTTTATCCTTTAGGAATGACAATTTGGTGTGTGTGTGTGTGTGTATGTATGTGTGTGTAATATATATATATATATATATATATATATATATATATATATATATAAACTTAGGGTGACCAAAATTATGAGACTGATGTTTGTTGATGTGTCTTCATTTCTCAGAACGAAGGGACTAAAATTTGATCACTCCCCTGGCACTAGGTTTGTAGTGACCTTTAGGTATTGTGGCAGAGTACATAAAGCATCAATTAGGGGGCAGATAATTGGCCTAATCAACAATACATTATCTGGGATCATGCTTGGTAAAGCAGGTAGGTAATCCAGCCAGGAGATCCCTTCTCCTAGTCACACCAGCAACACAAGGAAAGCATCTTATTTGCTCCAGAAGTTGGGTCCAGAGAAGTATGCTGAAGAGGTATATTTGGCCTCTAGAAATAATGGCTTTAAGAACCACATTCTTGCTGGGTATCGTGGCACATACCTGTAATCCCAGAAGCTTGGAAGGCTGAGACAGGAGGATTGTGAGTTCAAAGCAACTCAGTGAGACCCTGTCTCTAAATAAAATACAAAAAATAAGGCTGGGGATGTGTTTCAGAGGTTGAGTGCCTCAGAGTTCAATCTCTGGTATCACCGCCCCCCCCCCCCCAAAAAAAAAAACCCTCATTCTCTGCACTGTGGGCTTGAATGATCAAATAAACTTATGGTTCAAACTGAGATTATTTGTGAAAAAGCAGCTTTAATAATAATTATGTCAAAGAGACTAAAATTTGACCAGTGCTACCCTGGACATAGGTCTGATCAGTGAAGATGTTTCTTCAATTTGATGCCTAAACAAACAAAAACTTTCCTTTTAAAGAATTTCCTATATATGCTATTTTCTACAGAGGCCACAGTGGGTAGGCCATGATTCAGGCAGGAAATGCCCTTAGTCACATCAGAATTCTCATTGTGGGGGGAAAAAACCCACTCATTACCACACTCTTAAATTACTTATTTAGACTATTTGTATTCCAAAGGAAATTTTAGGATGTCAGCTATTCAGCAATATTGAGAAAAACATGAATGACACATATGCCATCACCTCGGTTATGTACTTACCTCTCTCCATTTTCTTGGACAAAGAAAATAGAAAAAAATGTTAATTAGATAATTTAACTTTTCAGAGCACCAGTTTCCTCATTTATGAATTGGGAATAATATCCACCTTTCAGGGCTCTTAGGATTAGATATTGTTTAGTGTCCCTCCCAGCATGAAGCACAGGATAAGTGCTTAGTGACAACATCAACAGAAGTCATCACTCTGTCCTCAAGTCCTATTCTGCTGAGTCATCACACTAGACACTCTACAGCTACCTTGACTGCTGGGAATGGCTGACAGTCATGCTGTAGTCTCTAGGCGAGTTTAGTTGTGATCTCCTTTAGGATCAGATCATTAGCTTTTCATGTCTGCTTCCAGGCTCAACTCTAGCCTCTATTCTCTTTACTTCAAATCTGCCACAGCTGCAGAAACAATTTTCATGCATGTGCAAATCCTGTTAAAATGAATAAGGCTGAGGAGTCAAGTGCCTGGGTCTTCAATGTTATATCTGTTGGGCCTTTCCCACATTTTTTAAGCCTTAAAATCCTGTTCCCCAGGGCCAGGCTCACAAGGGATACTTGGGAACCCCCAGTCGGTTCCTTCAGATGTCACCACTGACCCTGAAAAGGACTGCTGTAATTTAAATACCTTCTAACCTATCTTGAACTCTTTAGCGACCTCTTGAGTGTGGCTCTGATGATCCTTGAACTTAAAAGGCATAGCCAGAGGGAAGGCTGTGTTGATCCACATCAGTGGTTCTAAACAAGCTATGATCCCTTTGTTATTACCACCCATCTAACCACTTGAGACTCCTAGAAACAACTGGTGTAGAAAAATATTTAAGGAAAGAGACATGTTTTTCTCCTTTTATTAAAAAAAAAAAAAAGCACATTTGTGTTGAAACAATTCAAGTTTAATTTGCTGATATATGAACTCAGACAAACACTACATTCTACAACATACATAATGTCAATATGGGAAAATACCAAGTTTGTCATTGCACATACCAATAAATAAATACATTTGCTTCAGAATACCAAAAAAGTTTATTCAAAAAGTCACTTAATAAAAGCACAGTTTTGCAAGTTTGTCTAAAACTCCAGATAATTTTGAACAAAAATAAAATGTCTGACCACTCCAAAATAGGAAAAGACAATCTTGTGCAAGTAGACATACACATTCTAGGCATTATGAAAACTGGCTAAATATGTGTTCCCAGCAAGAGGAATGTTACCCATCCTGACCAAGTCCCCTCTATCTTCAAATGTAGGATTGAAGAGGCCAGAGTTGGGCTTCCCCTTCTAAGCCATTCTGAGTTGCTCTCTAAGAACTCTGGACCTTAGCCTCACCTCCAGCTCTGCCTGGACCTTGATGGGGGGGGGGGGGGACAGGAGAACAAAGGAGAGGGGTGCATTGTCTTTCTTAAGAAAGAAGGCACAATGATGAGCTAGAAAAGGTAGTGTGATGAAATTAAATTTCATTCACCCTGAATCCTACAGCAAGCTTTGATAATCCATCATCTTCAATTAAGAAAACAGACCTAGAGAGTTCATGCAGTTTGCTCAAAATCATATAGCTACTAAGTTCAGTACTACTTTCTGTAAGACCAACATATCTTTCCATTTCATTGGAAACTTAAAACCAATTCGTCAATATTTCTTTTCTGTCCCTCCCTTGTATATCTTAAGATGACAGAAAATTGCAAACTGGAGATACACAAGGCAGGCTGCCAAAACTCAAACTTAAGAAACCATTCCTTGGCCTATTACTGGGAGCTGTGACAAGCTTACAAGCCAGGGCCCAGGGAGATGTAACTGGCCCCAGTCACAGTGCTAGGTATCATAGGAAAGCAAACTCAGCTCCCTGGAAGAATGTGCTCTGATGGCCACCTGGCATCTTGAGGTCACAGGGATGTTCCAGCTGGGGCATGGAGTTATAGAGAAGGGAAGGTCAAGGTTACTGTGGTAAGGGAAAACCAGGGCATCCATCCAAGAGATGGAATTTGTGCTTGCATAACAGAGCCATAGACAGGCTATCCCAGCACCTTCACTCAATGCAGACCCCATCTGCACAAAGCATGAATATTTTCCTCTAAAATCACCCCTATTGCTTGTTAAATTTAGAATTACCTCTACATAAGTGGTAAGTGTGTTTTAGTGGCAAATGTCTTGCTATTTCCAGTATGAAGAAAAACTGCTTCTACAGTCTTGTTAGGAGGTGGGCTTCAAGAGTTCTCTTCTAGCCTGCCCTCATCACACCCCTTGACTCCCAACACCTGTCCTCATGGATCTGGACCTTACATGCTTCCCCTGAACTAGTGTGATTTTTAAGGCACCGTCACTAGAATATATTCAGACTCATCTGAAAAGTATGTACGCAACAGACCAATCTCTTCTGATAATGCCAGGTGGGAACTGAATGACTTAACAGCTTTCTTAGATGGTCTCCTCCTGCTCAGAAACTTGGGATAAAAGCTGGTAATTTCCCAGGAACACTTTCTTTCAAAGAGCATGAAATGAAGAGACAGAAGCCACAGGGATTGTTAACTGCATCCTTATTCTTTTCCTACTCATCCTTAGAAATATGATAAGAAACCTCAGTTGACTGCTGATTGCTGCCCTTTTCCCCAGATACAAGAGACATGCTGACGTGTGTGTGCACGCGTGCACACACACACACGCACACACACACCACAGATGGACACCGAGCACCTTGGAGCCAGAAGGAGGGGTAGGGGAGCTAGACTTGGAGAGGAGAGGAACCGTTTGGGAGCAGAAGTATAGAGTTCTGGGGTACAGAGCCAGGAGTAGGTATAGAGGAGCTGCCTAAGGTCCCAGCTGCCCTACATCTTTAGGAACTGCTTATCCTATCACTGGTTCACTGTCCAATCAAGGACCATCTGGGCAGAAGGGCAGGAACTCTTACCGTGAGAGAGGCTAAACCCAGGTGGTCTCCAGGGCCTTGGCAGCTTTGTGAGTCCATGGGCCCCTGGCCACAGGGCCAGTGGTCAAGGAAAGGCAGCAACACCAGGAATGGGGTCTTAAGAGCTGACCTTGTGAGGCTGGTCTTAATTAAGTGACTCAACTGCTCTTGCTTGTCACCAGTGCCCAGAAGATTTTGTGCTAAGGCTCCCCTTTACTCCCAGGCTAGAAAGCTCAGCCTACATCTCCTGACCCTACCCAAATCGCCAGCTACCCCACTTACATGTGTGCTGAAGCAGAGAGCAGAGGCCCACAGTATTTCCATTGTGCTTCTGATTATTTCACTCTGCCGCTGGGGTCTTCCTAGACTCCAGATTCAGCCTATTCTACCTTAAAGTCATAGGCCTAAAGAAACAGCTTGGTCAGACTTTAGAGATCATCTGGTTTCCAACAAGTCAAGTATCAAGAGGTCTCCAGAGTCAGGGAAGGAAAAGCCAAAGAAGAACTACAGAAGGGAGGATGGCACCACAATCTTTCATCAGGAAGTGAACCAGCACCAGAACAGAAAGTCCTGATGCTCTCTAAAAACCAGACCATGTTAACAAAGGCTAGGTTACAGGAGGGGCCTCTTGAGAGATGTATGGTTTAGGTGTGGGCAGCTCCTGTTAAAAGCAGGTGTGCCTTGTTTTAAGCATTCACATAGAAAAATGTTGATTACAAAAATGAGAGCATACTAATTCCACTTAAGTCAAAACAACTTCACCTATAGAGCCTCACTAATATTAAAGTATGACTTGTATTTATTTAAAATTTCTACTTAGCCCTTCCAAGCATTTCTACTCTAAAGCAAGGTCCAACTGCTGTTTGCTTCCCACAGATTTCTGATCACTATCTGGGTAAGAAGACTCTGCCAAGGTAAACAGCCTGAACAAGAGTTTAGAGTCCCTAAGCCTGTAGGGTGGATGGTGCCATCCAAGAAATAGTGGCAGTGGAGGGAACGTTTAGGCCAAGTCCTGTAACGCTTAGGCTGCCTGTCACATCTAGACAGAGAATTGTGTCGCAGCTTGCTAAGGTCTGCTCACAACTGTGCAGTCCTCATGGAGGGGCCGGACAAAGGCCAATCCTGATCAGACTGACATGCAAAAAAGCCAGACAATTTCCAACAGGGAAATACCCAATTCTCTACTGAAATGGCTTCCGTCATATATACCAACCAGGATGTGTCTAAATCTCTTGAATCAGGAAGGGAATAGGGCATGCAGAATGGGCTCCATAAGGCCAGAGAGCCATAGATACTAGTTTCTTGGGGGAAAGTGGAAACAAATGAAAGAACTTGAGATTCTGAACTCAGTCATTAAACCAGCTAACTAACCCAGGGAAAGTCCCATTTTTCAACATGATTCACTGAAAGCAACAAGTTGATCTCTAAGTGTCCTGCCACCTCTGATCTCTTGATTTAAAAATAGTCTCTCCTTTCCTTACCCTGTCCCATTCCCTTCCAAAAAGAACCACGCATAGCCTTCAACAACCATAATTTGGCTGACAGCAGTGAGAGCTGAAACACAGTCAAGAGCACCCACAGCTGGGTCTTTCCAGAGAGAGGTAAGATTCTTCCTGGAGCATGCCTTGGCTTGGGAATGGTACTTTTCCAGCAAGGGCTGGTGACCTGGTTCCCATCTGCATTTCCCAGGGGTTGCACTGGGGCTGCTCAGCAGAGAGCTCCTGGGCCAGTTGGCAGGGCCCCCAGGACAGCCCTGTCCAGGGAGCCTATTCATGTACTTCTTGTAGTACCCATCTATTAAGATATTTGGCCTTAAGAGGTGGGTTCCCTTTGCCTCTGCAAGCACAGAACAAACCTGGAGAAAAATTAGCTAGAACTCTAAACCACCAGCTGATTCCCACAGCCAGATAGGGAACCCCTTGCCATAGTGGCTGTCCTGCCACTCATCTATCCCCACTGCTCCCTTAACTTCCCTCAGGCCTGGCTGGGGCCTTCTGAAGTTGGAAGGCTTTCTGCAGTTGAAGGGACCAGGCTTGGCTGCCAAGCCCTCTGCTACATAAGTTAATGTGCCCTACTCATACATGCAAATACGCACGTGTGCGTGCACACACACACATACACATACACACTCTCTGCCCCTGTTGGGGCACCTGTTGTCATCTGACTCCTAGATGAGTAGACAGCTGGGCCACCGCAGCCTTGCTTGTGCTTCCTCCCTCTCTATGCCTCTTGCAGCCTTCCCAGCTGAGGAGGTTGCCCAGCTCGGCCAACAATTACAGCAGGATACTAACCCAAGAATGGGGTGTGTGGTGACCTTGGGGGCACAGAAAGAATGACTCTCATCCCTTCACACCTACCCACTACTCCCTTGCCCTAGCAGCAGAGGCAGAGGAGCCAGTTCCTCAGGGAGCCCACTGAGGGCCAAAGCTTCATCTGGCAGAAGGCCTATAAACAGGGCAGGCAGGGCTGTCTCCACAGGCAGGCAGGCAGGCAAGCTCCACTCCAGGCTGGGCAACCCCGAAGGAAGCCTCTACTCACAGGCCAGCTTGCTGTCAAAGCTGGACAGAGCAATGGCAAAGGCCTGCAGTGCACACAGCGGATAGTTGTAATCCATGGTGAATACATCCTCTGCTACCCGGCCAAACTGCATGACGATGTAGTCCGCTGGGGCCAGGCACAAGCATGGACACAGAAAAACAAAACAGCAGGGATGGTGGGGATAGCACAGACACCCAAGCCACAGAGGAAGAAAAAGTGAGAAGCAGAGATGCCAAGGAAATCCCAAAGGAGGTAAAACAAAGGATCATTGGGAGAGGCAGCAGATGACAAAGGAAAGAGAAAGATGCATACAAACACCAGGAGACAGAGAGGAGAAAAAGTCCATTTAAAGGGTATTCCCATGCCTGAGATTCTGCCGAGTACACAGAATCTAGGGCCAGGGCTCCAAAGAAGATTCTTCTATAGCCTCCCAGTCATTATAGTTGGAATATTCTTCACATCTCATCTAAGCCATATAGCCCATATCCTAAACTCTGGCCGATATGGACTGGTTAGGTGAGCTGAACCCAAAACTAAGGGCCCCAGATATCACACAAACAGTATGAGGAGGGGCAGAGACACTCACGGTCATTGCCATGGATGATCTGGAAGTTCTTCACAGAGGCTTGTGTGACACGTCCATGGAAGTTGAGTACGTAGGACTGTGTGTCATCATTCCAGACAGGTGTCTTGTTTTGCAGTTCAATGATACTCTCCGTGTTCTTATTTTGCCAGCGTGCTAGTAGTGTCTCATGTTCCTGGGAGGGCAGCCTCGCCTGAGTCAGGCCCAAGCCTCGGCATCATGACCCCACCCCCACCCCAAGGAGGGATTTTTCACAGAAATGGGACTTCTTAGATTCCCCTAGACCTCCAGGGCTTCTCAAATTATATCCCCCACACATATACACACCTGTTAAGAGTTCTGCCCTTAGAAGCTCATGCAGAGGCTGGGATGATAGGGTAGAGGTAGGGTGGGGTAAAGACTCACATTGCGAGGGCGGATAGAGACTCTCTCGTGAACCATGTTCATGCCTGGGACAATTACGCTCATCTTCCGAGGCCCCTTGAAGCCTAGGACATTTGTCTCCTAGGAAATAAAAAGAACTCAGCACTGACCACCTGAAGAAGGTCATTACCTCCTGGAGAAACTGGGAGAAGGAAATAAATATTAGTTTGTACTATCTCTATTTAAAAGTCTACTAAGCACCTCTAAATGTAACATGTCCAGAGCCGAATTCCTGGATCTCTACTCTGCCACAACTTGCTTCTCGAACTAACTTGCTTTAGTTAACAGCAACTCAGTTACTCCCTTTGCTCCAGCAAACTGCCTAGAGTCATACTTGACTTCTCTTTTTCTCACACCTCACTTCTAACCACCAACAAGTTTGTCAACTCTACCTTCAGATTACACCCAGAATTCCTTACTGTTCACCACCACCATCTCTCACCAAAATCTAATAGCCATTAACTGTTGTTTCTGTCCTTGGCCCGCGGTTTCCTCCATTGTCTGTTCGAAACACAGAAAGGCAGCAGCCTGTTAAGTCAGGTTTTCCTCTGCTCAAACTCCTCCAGCGGCTGTCCACTGAAGCTCTTACTCTACCTGCAAGGCCTTGCATGATGTGACCCCCATTCCTCACTCTCTTTGCATTTACTCTGCCCTCCTTCCCATTCCTTCTTCAGGCCAGACATTCACGACTTTTGCCCTGGCTGTCATGCAGGCACGTTCACAACTGGCTTTCACTTCTTCTTTACTCAAGTTACCTTGGTCAGATACTCTCCACCATCTTTCCTAAAATTGTACACACACACCTTGACATTTCATAGCCCCCTTCCCTACTTTTTTTCCTTCTTAGCATTGATCAGGAACATATTTATGTCTCTTACATGTCTGTTTTAGAACTTCTATCTCCCACTAGGGGTTTAAGTCCCATAAGGGTATAGACACCCCATAAGGGTATAGACATATATGTCTGTTCACTACTATATTCTCTACTCAACAGGACCTAGAATACAGACAGAAGATTCAGTACTTGAAAAACTAAGGCTGCCTCTCCAAAACTGACCAGTAGGTGGCACCATAGGATCATCCAAACTAGCTGTGGATTCCCAGTAGCCTCCAAGAAGTGCCCATGCTCAGGGTAGGTGGATAGGACAACAACCATCCCTCATTTTTAGAAACAAAGAAATTGAGCTTCAGAAGGGTAGAGAAGTCCTCTGTATTTGCATTCCAGTTTGGCTTGTGCTGTTAACAAATGACTCAAACTCTAGCTGCAGTTTCCTAAATATACAGAAAATAGGATCTACCTCTTAGGTAGATGATTGTGCAAAGGGCCCTGCGACTCATGCAGAACCTCGCATCTAGAAAGGTGATCTGAGAGCAAGCACATACAGAACCCAGGCCTCCTACCTCCTATCTCCTGTTCAGGAGACTTCCAGGCTGCATAAAGCCAGGAATGGTTCACAGTGGTCCCTAGGAAGATAGTCTGCTGTCACCTGATCACTGAAGATGGGAGGGGAGGGACAGGGCCCCTGTCCCAGGCAGGGATCATTCTGCAGGGGGAATCCCCTATCCACACAGCCTTGGCTACCACCAAGGTGGATGGGATGGCCCCCAGATCAGGCAGCAAGTCGTGGGTTGAACTTGGAGACCAGAGATCCAGGAATCCAGGACTCACATAGCACACAGCTGCCAGCTCCTGACGCAAGGTTCCACTTTCCAAAGTAGAGGATGATGCCTTCTGAGGGTTGACTCCATTATCATAAACTGTGAACTTGGTACCCATCAGGTTGGACCTGAAGGAAAGGCACAATCAGTATAGGGTTATGTACTCACTGCTCTGGGGCAGGGAACAGCTCATAGTCTGTCCCATGAGGAGCCTGCAAAACACTGAGCTGGGCCATGAGCAGACCTCAGGGGGCACACTGCTCACTGAATTCACACCTTTGAAAGTGCTTCCTAAGCAGAACACCTGGACTTGGTCTGAGTTTACTCAAAAGGGAATCTGATTTCAATTAAGGAAATTTAGGGAGGTAAATCAGAATTCCACAGATTTCCATGGGAGAACAGCACTGCCCTCATGGGAAGTGGGCAAGCATAATGGTATCCAGGAAAATTAGAGATCTTTTACCCTTTGGAGACTGAATAAAACGATTGCCTTGTTCCGTCCAGCCCCATCTCCAGCTTTAGCTACTTACCTCTAATCTTCATTTATGCCTCCCAAATTGGTACTCTACTTTGGCAAACCCTAATCCCCCATGAGGCACTGCTAAAAGCCTCCCTGCCCCTCTGTCTCCCTAAGATGGCCGAGATGCTCTTCCCTCAAGAGATTACTCTCAAGCCCTGTCCCTTGGCACTAACCATGGGGCCCAACAACTTTTCCATGCTGCCCTACATCATCAGTAACATCCTGGGTGTGATCCATCTCCCATGATGGGCCAGAACCCACATGCCTGGGAACTGCTGAATTCAAGTCTGGCCCTAGGCTGGGCATAGACTGGGACTGTGGTTGGGTCTGATGGACAGAGGATCCTGCCAAAGGATCCAACTCTGCCTTAAATCTTCAAGGTCAAGAAATGCCCTCTAAGGAGAGCCTCTTCTGCCCCTCCCTCCCATTCCCGCCTTCATCCTGGGGGAGTGCTGGTACCGCAGTTTTCCGATGTAACTGTCCCCTCCTCGAGACAAGTCTGTTGGGTCCACAGAGATGAGGTAATTGGAAGTTTTGCTTTTCTTTCTCTTTCTTCCTGCCAGGAGGAACACCTGAGGGAATGGAGCAAGGTCATGTTCAGACCCAGCTTGTGGTCCACACACAATCATAAGTACCATTCACAAACCCACATTCACACAAATACTGCCTTTGCTTCAACTCCCAAGTGCACATGTGTGCGCGCACACACACACACTGGAAAACACACAGCTCTGTACTAAGCAGGCATGGAGGCTTTGGTTTCTCTGGAGTACTGAGGGGTCAGTATTGAGCTGAGGGTTCCAGTCATTCTAGCTCCCAGGCCCTCAAGCCTGCCTTGCTGAAAACACCTGCCCAGAGCAACCTCACCTTCTTTCCATCCTCACGGTCCAGGTGCAAGAAGTAGGTGGGGTACATGCCCCGGTCCATCCCCTTTTTATCCCGTGTGATGCGGCATTTGATGGTGATTCCCTGGGGTGCTGGCCTCAGGGCAAACTCCTCAAGATCCTGGACCTCAACATCCACTGGTGGCTCTGGGGCTGTTGGGCTGGGGGCTGAGGCTGTGTCCTATGAGCAAGGAGAGAAGGCACCTAAGCCCCACCAGCCAAAGCTGGAAGTGTGAGATCCAAATCTGCATCCTGTTGTGGTAGTAGTGGGAGACAGGGCAGGATCCCTGGGATATGGGCCTGGCCATCCTGCCCTAGGGTCAGAGGCTATCTCCTTATCCCTGCCCTCTCTTCAACAGTTCCTAGGGCTAAAGATGGGAATATAAAGGCAGGTCCTCAGACACCCCAGGTCCATAGCTTGGTTGAAGATATTAGGAGGCAGTGTAGAAGGGCAGAAGGGCCCAGTTAGAGAAGCACCTGATAGGCACCAGGTCCTGCCCATGGCCCCAGAAGAGCTATCATGGTATCTCCATCATGTCCTCACACACTTGGTCCACCTCTTCTGGACAGGCAGTCCTCTGAACATTGCCATCCAACTTCTTTCTGAGAAGCTCCTCACTCACCCTGATGGACTTCCTGCTAGTGGCAGAGCTGGGGCGGGTGTTGCTGTTTAGCTGGGAGGAGCTAGAGCTGTTCTCATCCTCATCTTCCTCTTCCTCATCAAAGCTCATGCTGCTGGAGATGCCTGAGGTGAGCAGAAAAACAGGGAGGGATGAGTGAGGAGGATCTACCTTCCAAAGTAGATGTCGTCACATGTGGACATATTCAAACATTGACATCTGTACCCAGACACACACACAGCCATATGTACACACACATAGTGACATGTACTCCCACACACACAGATACACATGAGGAACATTCTCTCAGATGCACACATGAGCTGGGGCTGGTTACAATCCTCAGGATACATCCCCACCACCCAGTTTCAGCTCAGTCCCTGCGTTAGCTCCCCTCTCCTCTCTAGCAATAGCGTTACCCCCACCTCTTGTGCATCACAGCCTATCTGCGCTGAGCCTTCACAGGGAACCTCTATTCTGACCTTGAGCCTATTAGAGGCCTTGCCTGGCTTGGGCCATAGACTCTGCCAGGGAAAAGGCCTCAGCTTCTCCCTCAGCATGGTGTGCAGGGCCACATACTTCTCACCTTTCCCAGCCTGCTCTGAGCCTCTATCTCAGCTTTCTCCGCATTCCCCTCCCCTGCCTGGAATGCCACCCATCTCTCAAACTGTCTCAACAGCCCTTTCTCCAAAAAGCTATCCTTGAGTAGATTTCTCACAATGTGGGTGGCACTGCCAGGCTTCTTCTGTCTGCCACATTGCACCAGGGCTCATGGTGGGGAAACTGGGCAGCAGGTTTTATGCCTTGCCTCTTAGCATCCTGGCCCTGCTCCCTCTAGCTCAACAGACAAAGGGGCAACTCCTTTCAAAATTTTTTTCTAGGAAGCAAAAGGGAAAGAAAATCTGCCCCCAAAACCTGGGCTTCCTGGGAGCATGAGATAGGGCTGGAATGTGGGTTGGTTATCCTAGTTCATAGTTTCCCTTAACTTGGCCTTATCAAGGCCCCTGTCCCATACTTGTCATTTGTCCCCAGGTATGTCCCCTCCCCCATGGTCAGGGAGGAGCTGGACTTGACCCAGGAAGGCCATGCTCCCAGAGAAGGGTGCACCTGAGAAACTGGGACTGAGCTTTGGTTCCAATTGGGCCCCCACGGGGCTCACCCTTCCTCTGCATCGTGGCACGCAGGTCCTGCTGGCTGGACAGGGTGCCCCCACCAGCTGCTGTCTCCCCTGCATCCTGCGCGTGGTCTGATTGGCCCACAGTCAGGATCTGCACTGGGCCTTGGGCCTCAGACTTGTCTTCTGCCAGTGCTGCTGGCCCGCCGGTGCCTGTAGGCCAGACACTCCTGAGTCACGTCCAGGAGGGAGAAGAGGGCCTGGATTCTCAGACGTCCATGAAGGGAGTGAGGGATGAGTGAGAGGAGACCCTCTGCAAAACTTTACTCACAAAACTGATTTTTAAAAAAACTAACAACTGCTGTCAGCCTGTTAATGATTGGTAAGCTGTGAAGGAATATGGGCTTTAATTCTTCTGCTCTTCCCCACATTAATTACCAAGAGTTGATCTGAAATACCCCACATGCTTAAGACAGACAGCAGCCATCTACAAAACCAATTGCACAGTAGAAAAAACAACGTGGAAAACAAGGATTGATCCAGACCACAGTTCATAGTTGAGGCCAACAATCACTCACAGACATGGCCAGCTACAAGTTATCAGTGCTTATATTCTCTGACTCTGTTTCTGTCTGTGTCTGTCTGTCTGTCTCTCTCACACACACTCAGGGTAACTCACATACATCATTAAAAACATAGGAGGGCCCTTGAGAAAAGATTGGTTTTCATACACTGCCTTTTTAGGCAGAGGATCTCCCATCCCACGTCAATCTTGCTGCACGACAGCTTCAGACACAGAAGCAAGGCCTAGCTTACACTGGTGGCAGCTGCCCTGCCTAGCTGAGCTATGCTCAAAGTGATGCAGCCAGCTCCAGAAGCCCAGGGACCCTGACATACCACTGTCCAACTATGATGCAGTGGCCTGGAAATCACTTCCCATCACCCAGGGTTGAGGAAATGGGGTGTCTAGCCAGGAGCCAGAACTTGGGGCAGGAGCTGCCATCACTGTTCATGACCTCTGGGGATCTTTGTTGTACAGAGAAGAGCAGAGGGAACAGACTGCTCTTTGGCTCAGAGGGTGGAACTGGGGCTAGAGCAGGGAGTAGAGTGCAAGAGCAAATAGCAAATGCTGCACAAGCATGGGGCAGGCTGCAAGAGATATAGTGAGCCCCCACTGAAGGGAATGTCCTGGCTCAAGCGTCAGGATGGAGGGAGCTTGGGTCAAGGCATGGCAGAAGGGAGGGGTGATCCTGGGCAACAGCTGAACTGAACTTCAGTTCCTGGCAGTATGGAGAGTCTGCCCATACTCACAGGCCAGCCCACATACCCCGTGAACTGGACAAGGTCTGTTGGCCATTCTATATCACTGAGACTGCTCACCCCAGACCTTGCCTCCAAGTTAGGAAGGGAAGCTACCCTTGACCTCATGGCGGTGGAGGGGCAGGCAGGCCTATTGGGGAGGACTGTGGAGCAGGCAAGCTAACCTTTGTGCTTTCCCTTCTTCTCCTTCCTAGAGACCCCACTCTGGCCCCCAGATGCAGCAGCTGCCTTGGTTTTCTTGGTTGAGGCTGGTGCTGTTGGGTGGGCAGCTCCCAGCTGCACACTGGCAAGTGAGTCGGCCTCTTGAACTGCTCAGGAGAGAACCCAAAACAGAGAAAAAGAATCGGATATTAGGTGAGGCTAGAGTTTCCACTGGAATATACTTCCTACCCCTACTCCCACCTGGGCCCCTGTGCCACTTTTTGTGCCCAGAGTCAGACCCACTCATTTCTACCATACAAAAATGCTGGGCAGGGCATGCTGGTGCCACCATCAGCCCAGTGTGATGATGTTAATGGCAGGCCAAAGCCATGCTTAGTCAGCAAAGTTCTGGTCCAACACACTATTCTGAGCCTGAACAGGGGTAGAATGTGTCCATGAAAATATGCACCAGGGAAAATGGCAGAAGAGAATGCAAAGGCTGCATCTTCTGGCAGGAACCACAGCCAGGTCAAGTACTCTAAGGATCCTGCACAAGCCCTCAGGTGTCAGGCCCGTGGGAACATGGAATATGGAGCACCTGTGGGATACAAAGAACTCCACACACCTGGGAGGAAGTCTCAGAAAGGTAACAGCTGGTGGCCTCCATGTTCTCCACATGGCAAAACTCCAATATGCTCGAAATCCACAAATAGTTTCTGATTGAACTTAAGATAAAAACCAACAGTGTCCTGCACATCTGGCTCCTCCATATCCCTTTCCCTTGGTCTAACCACACATTCAACCACCTGGAGCCAGGAGTTCCAGCCACAGCAGGCTTTCTCATGCACATGCTGTACTCCCCTGTGTCACAGGGCCCTTGCTCTGGCTGTCCCCACTACCTGTACTGCCTCTGCTGCCTGATTAACTCCCACTCATCCTGCAGATCTCAGTTCAGAGAAGTTGTCCACAGCTCCCTAGTCAGAGCAGCTGCCCTGTCATCCCCTCATTGAGCCAATCTCTTTCCACAGAGCACAGCTGTCACCTACTTAACACTTTCCTCACCTGGATCATAAGAGCAGGACTACACCCACCTGTGCTGCCTAGAAACCACTGTCTCTAATCCAGAGCCTGACACCAAGTAGGTCCTCAATAAATATTTAAGAAATGAATGAATGTGTAGAATGAACAAATACAGCCAATATAAGGTCAAACACCTTACTGGGATAAACCATGTCAAACTCCCTTGGGATGATCCTGTAGTTAACACTCAGAGCCAGCAGAGGGCAGAGCAAGAGGCAGCTGATGCCATTGGAGGGGTGGGGGTAGTCTCAGAAACCAGCGCCCAGGGCAGCCAGCCAGCTGATAGCAGCCTACCAGAGCTTTGTCTACCACTCAGAGCTGGAGAAAGATTCAGCCCCCAGTCAAGCACAGGGGAATACACTTCACAGATATCAAATGTCCCTATAGGGAAGGCCCTTGAAGGCCTGGACTGGTCTGGAGTCTTAGCAGGGAACAGCAATCAGCTGGTTTTGGACATGCTGGAACACTCTACAGTTCCTTCAATTTTCAAAGCCCTAAGACAGATTTTTTCCTTATTGGATAGTGGAGAATACAGACCTGGAGACCACAAGTGACTTGCCCACAGTCACAAGTGAGCAGGTAATGGAGTGGTAGGACCAGAAACTCTATTCTAGCCATGCATGACCCCAGAGGTGCTCCCCTGCTCTTACTGCAGTCTCCTGCCAGCCTGGCACCACCTCACCCAGTCAGGATTTAAAAGACACTGCCAAAGGCCTCTATATCAGGGACTCCTCAAAATGTAGCCTCTGGCACAAAGTTTCAGGGCCCCAAATCATGGGTGCAGGCTCCCATCTCACATGCAATCCTGATGGCTCAGATGCTTGGCAAGGCTGGAGCTGTGATGCCTACATGGCAGCAGGTGAGGCTCCATAGAACCCAGGACAGTGGCTGCCTTCTCTGTAGGGCACCATCTTGGAACGGCACTCAGAGGGGAAGTGGAGAAGAGGCTGTCAGGAAGGGCCAGTTCCATGAGGAGCAGCTGGGGCTGCCTGAGAGCTGGGCTGAGGTCCCTGAAGGGGATCCTGAAGGGCCTCTCACATGGAGTACAGATATTTTAAGTGTGGCCAGGATGCTGTACACAGGGAAATTACCAGGAAGGAGTATCTTAACAGGGAGGCAACATAACATGGTGGAAAGACCTTTTAGTATCAGAGTCTAATCTGTGACCAGCAGCACACTGTGAATATGTTGTGGAGCCCCATCCAAGCCCAGGCCTTGTCAAACATGGGGTTAGTGAGTCACTGAGGATGAAATGATAATGCAGGTAAAGCACCTAGCCCCATGCTTAGCCCTAGCAAATGTCCAAAGACAACTTCTATGATTAAAAATGAAGTGGTTTTCTTCTAATTCATATGGTTGCTGCCCTCTAAAGCACAGACTAGGGGAGTGTGGTGAGCTAAGGGCTGTTATAGTAACACAGAGAACCTGAGAAACTCTGAGGCAGGAGGACAAAGCCAGCAGTTAGATGGAGGTTAGTCCTGAGATAAGGAAACTACCAGCAGCTACATGTGGCTGGAGGCTCCAGGTCAGAAAGAAGCCACAGAGGGAGGGAACATTATGGTTGCTAAGGTTCTTCCTACCTGCAAGTCAGATGCCTGCAATCTTCTCACAGGTACTACTGCATTTGGAATAGCCACCTGCATGACCAGCACCATACCAGCAGGGGGCAGTGACAACTCAGTCTTCCTCTATCTCAGAGACCAACCCACTATCTGGCCTGGCATATTCAACCTAACCCAAGCAGAAGTGAGGGTCCTAGATGCAGGGATATAAGGGAGCCATCCCTCTGCAGGATAAGTGGTAGAGAATTCCCCCAAAGTGGGCTCTGCTGAGAACAGAGAGTGTAAGGAGGGGAGCAGAAGACTACTGGTCACTACAGCTCTGAAGAAGTCCTGAGCCAGGGACAGTGACCTACAGGCCAGAAGTCAGATAGACTGAAGGTATAGAGAGCTCAAGATGGGAAGGAAACAGGTATTTGTGCCCTGATACCCTAGCTGGTGTGGTGCGCAATGCTGAGAGAGATTCCTCTCAGGAGAGAATGGAGGAGAGAAGCAGGCTCTGTTCTACTTTTAAGAGCTGCCTCCTGATCTCAAATATTCCACATCAGAAACCTGGAAATTTGAACTTCCAGATTCGTTTTTAGCCTTCTGGCCCCAGCATCTGACAAGGCCAAAGGCTTGGTGTCTCTAACCCACCCCACTCAGCTGTCCACCTAGGCTGGGTGACATACTCAGCTTGGACAAACCCAATAGGATAAACCCCTCACCTACCCAGGTCAGCAGAAAGCCCCTGAGGGGCTCTCTAAAGCCATGCTGGGGTGTGGAGCCTCAATGCAGGAGTCTCCCAGGCTGGCTGTCCCTGGGGCAGGAAGCAGGGTGTACCTTGGTAACTGGTGCTGCCAGCACTGCTGAGGTAGGACTCCACCAGGGGGGCTTGTTCCTCTGACTGCCGGGCCCGCCGGCTCCGGGGTCGTCCATCTGCATTGGCCTGCACCATCAGGGGCTCCTGGCGCTTCTTCTTCTGCTTCTGTTCCAGCAGGGCCCGCTATAGAGGCACGCGGAAGACACAGAGGTGAGTTGTCCCCCCACCCACCCCTGCCTCCACCAGGAGGGCTCCCACAGCGGGGTAAGAGAGAGTGCCCTGCTGACTGGGTTGGGTGTCAAGGCCTTATGTCCTCAGCGTCCCCAAACTTGGGGTCCAGGAAAGGGTGGCACAACTCAGGCCTGGCTATCTTGGAAGACCACAGCACAGCAACTCAGCCCTCCAAATGCAATTGTCCAGGCTGCCTCCCTGGCAGAAGCCTCACCTAGGCTGGGTGACATACTCAGCTTGGACAAACCCAACAGGATAAACCCCTCACCTACCCAGGTCAGCAGAAAGCCCCTGAGGGGCTCTCTAAAGCCATGCTGGGATGTGGAGCCTCAGTGCAGGAGTCTCCCAGGCTCCCTTCTTCCCCATCTGATAGGAACATCCAGGGACCATGGAAAGAGAGCCCTCCCTCTCTGCCTGAGGATACCCAATCCAGACTCTGCCCTTGCACCCAGTCCCAGCCTCACTCACCTGCCGGTCAAGCTTCTGCTGCCTCAGGTTGCTGCCCTCATCATCTAAGACACTGCAGAATGAGAGAAGGGTATTCAGAGCCTATCCACCAGGTGCCAGGATATGAGTAGAGTCTACCCCACAGCATATGAGTCTTTTAAATCCCTCTAGTCATGGCTCTGTCATTCCATGAGCCAATTGGTGGAGGGAGGAAGCATGGAAGCTGCCATCTAAGAACCACTTTGAAGGGTGTGAGTCATATTTCTGACACTTCAGGAGCTTATCTCTTGATAGGACTAACTGCTCCAAGGACTTCCCAGCCAGCCTGGACCCAATCAGAATAGAATGAGCCTCTCCTCTCAGATCCCAAAACAGGGCAGGCTTGACTAAGACCTAGGAAACCCACGTAGAAGCATCAGCCACAACCTAGGCCTGAACTGGCCTTCAAACCAGGGGCCTGCTCCCTCCAGCTTCCTATGGTGATTTCACCAGTTCCTGTTCCTCCTTTCTATCCTTTATGGAGAAGGCTGGGTCCTCTGGGATAGATTCCCTTCTCCCATCCCAAACTCCTGGCTCTCAGGTAGGCAGACACCACCCACCTTCCCACTCTCCTTTAGAGGGTAGAGTGTCCTCCTCATTTAGGAGAGGGAAGCTAAGAAATCCACTATTCTCTCAGAGCAGGTCTAGGGCTGGGGGGGGGGGATGTCTGCAGGATGGCCTCAGTAGGTCAATGTCTGCCCAGCAATCAGACACCAGCTCTTCCCTGGTCACAGACGTGGGATAAACAGCACAGGGAGCTGACCAGTCTTAGGATAGGAAGCCTCATCTTACCCAGCCTGGCATTCCTTCCCAGGAAGGCAGAACATGAGTAGGAAGCTGGCAACTCAAACCACTTAGCTTTCTGGCTAGCCCAAGACACCCTAGGCCCAAATTCTATAAAAACCAAAGTCAGGACAGCTGCATGGAGTGGAAATGAATCCTAAGAACCTGCACTCTGGGAAGTCCCAGGCAGCCCTGGTGCAGTTATGCGGGAGCCTTCCCCAAACCAGACCTCTTTGTGGGTCCCTGCTCAGGCAGGCCCCAATGCATTAGGTTCCTGTGGTCTACAAGGAATGTGTGAGTACATCTTGTGTATGTATGCAAACATGCATGCAGACACCTGTGTAAAGGTGAGTATGGTGTGTGGAAGGGAAAGAGAGGCCTATCACCTCAAAGATAAGGTAAAGCCATTTCTACTCCCTGACTGCTAGCCCTTTCTAGCTGGAACAAACATTGACCTATATGATCTTTGAACTACTCATATCTCTGAGGGAGCCAGCCAGAGGACGGAAGGAAGTCCACATATCACAGTTCACCCACAACAACCTTTGAGAGCTATGCATCCTTTTAGCTGGCATCTGTCCTACCTATGTGACATCTGGGAAGGCCTTTTCTATGCTACTATGCACATCAGAAGCGCCACAACTGTCATGTAGGGCTGTGTACACAACATCTTTGTTCACCAAACCCTCAGCTGCCAGAGCACAGAAGACACTGCTCAAAAGACATGTTTCTAGGTATTAGTCTCCCAAAAAACAGCCCTAAGAGGGGACAGTTGCATCTGGGGCTCCCTGAGGGCATCTCTAGCACCTGGGCCAGGTCTGAGAGGCCACAGCTATCCACCATCTCTGTACCTCAAGTCAAAGGCCTAACTGAGTTACCCAAGGGCAAAGTACCTACTCACAGACTGATTTCCAAACCTCATTGAGCACCATGGCATGAGCAGTGCACAGTCACTCCCCTAATTCCAGAATACGGATTTAAAATGCAGTCTGGGCTCTGTTCGTTGCACCTGGCTGACAGGAGCAATGGTCTGAAAATCAGCTGGGCTTTGCTTGCTGAGCTTTGGGCCAGAGCCTGGGACATCCTGTAACTCCTCACAGTCATGTGCTAGTGGTCTGGCCACAGAAGTCTCTGTATGACCTCAGTAAGACAGTGCAAGGTTTCCTTGGTGCCAGAGGGACAGGGCATTTCATAGCTGACTGGGGTGTCATACACACTTTCAGAGGGTAGTGCCAAGGGTCATCCACAGCAGTGGTCTTGGCTGAGCAGGACAAAGAAGATACCTTCCATGGTGCATATATATGTGTATTTCTAGAGTCCTTTAGAAAAGGGGCCATCCAACTGAGAGATAAAGGTCACATCAACAAAGCCACCTCTAGAAATGTTGGGTTACAGTAGTAGCTTGATGAACATGAACTGTTTCCAGAAACAGAAGTCTCACTGTTCTGTGCCCCTAATAAGGGGACATTTTCCTACCACAGCACTGTCACTTCTATGGACTTCACATAGTTATGTCTGAGGCATGAGACTGCTTTCCATGAATACATTATTTCCTCTCTCTGTCCCCATCTCCATTTTGTTAGGAGAAAAAGGACACTGATCACCAGATAAAATCACAGGTAGAAAAAACTTAGTGTGGCCTTCAGAGTAAGATGGATGAACACAAGGGTGAAGTTTCTCAAAGAGATTCTATAAACTTTAGATATCTCAGAAGTACCCAAAAGAGCTGCTCACCACCTCATTAGACACCAGACATGAAAGAATACCCTCGAAGGCAGGGAGTGTGCGTGGAAGGGGCAGGACAGAAGGGAAGCAACATGTGCTTGACTGAGCAAGACCCACCTGGGAGGCCTATGATAAATCCACTGACACTAGGAGCCCCTGAGAGTGGACACAACACTGGGTGAAACCAGGTTCTTGGGGAAGCACATGTTTCTTGGAGAGCTGCTCCTTATGAAAAGACCACAATCACCTGGCACTGACAAGCTTGTACTAGAAGGGTGTTCCTGCCTAAGGACAATGCATCCAAGTACACAATGTCTCTCCCTGGTGAATATCAAAGAATCCCCCAGCAGATGGCAGCAGGTCATGGAGATCAATGACAATGATGGCTGTCTCCAGCGAGAGCAAGACCATAGCTCCTCTCTTCCTCACAGGCACTGCTCCCTCTCCGCCCCCTCAGCCAGCCCTGCCTCCTCATCTCCACCGCAGCACCATTCCTAAGGGTCGGTCTCTCTCAAAAACACCTCCCCAGCCTGCCTCTTTCTGATGGGCACCATTCTAGGAAGCACTAAATGAAAACCACGCAAGGAGACAATAATGTTTTTTTAATCACTAGAGCTCCAACAACGGAATTACTGCCAAGCCCAGGCTGCCAGCTGCAGCCCCGCCAGGAGGCTCGGACAAAGATAGGGTACTGATGAATAGGTCTTCCAGCTGAACCCGGAGACTCCTTCATTACAGTCACCTCCTGCTAGGGACCAGACCAAGGAGGTGCAGGAAAGTACCAGCCACTGGATCTCATCTGCAGTGTCCACCAATCCAACTGCTCTATTCAGGACCAAGGCCTGCTACCTCCACTCAGTTCTCCCAGAGGCACTTGACAGATTCCTGGGGAGTGAATCATGATTGACAAAAAGATGATAAAAAGCACAAGGGCACTTTTTGTGTAGGCTAAAAAAAAAAAAAAAAAAGCCAGACATGGCCAACATATTTAGGAAACCTGTTTCTATCATTCTTCTTATACTTAAAAACTCCATCTAATTCATCAGTGCTAGCCAGAGGCCTGGGGACAGACCTAACCATCTGGATACTTTCTCCATGCCCACTTCAACTTCCCCTCTTCTTGTCCTTATTCTTTCTCCCAGTCACAGTACAAGCTGCCCCTGCTGGACCCAGGGATCCAAGAAGTGGGTTGTCTGGGGAAGCAGGCCACTCAGAGTATCTGATTGCAACCCTATGCTCAATGCCAGACCCCAGCAAGTCCACATCTGTGGCTTCCATTACTTTGCAGTTGCTTGGAACACACTGAGAATGGGGCCAGCTCCAGAAGGAAAAAGGGCAATGCTGTTCATAGGAATTCTGGCTTTCTAGGATGGGCTGCCCCCATTTTAGTTGGTGGTTCCTAAACATATCAGGTGCATTAAAACTATAAGGGGCACTAGCCCTGACTTGGTAATTCAGAACTGCTGAGGAACATGCCCCAGAATCAAAGTGCGCTCCCCACTCACTTTTATTTTTTTAAGCAAGTGCCATAGGTAATTCTAACACTCTGCCATGCAAAAAGAAACCATGAGACACAGCTTGTGATCTCTAGAGAACAGAAAATTGGGAAGTTGCTAGAAGGAGTTGCCAGAGGTAAAGTAGTAGCCCTAAGCATGCAGGGTACCTTTGAGGCTATACCTAGTAGCAAAACTATAGTAGTCAGGAGTTTTGCTCAATCAGCAATCAATCATATTGCTCCCTAGAAAGCAAAGTGAGCAAGTGGAAGGAGGAACCTAACAAGGGCCCAAAAGAGGAGGAACCCAGATCCATGCTCAGGTTCAACTCAAGGGAAGAACTCTCCACCATCACAGCCAGCTGGTAGAAGGCATTTGGCAGGGATGCTACTGGAGGCATTCACACAAAGAACGAAATGATCTGCATGGGTGCTTCTGGCCTGAGAGTCTCTGTGACCTAGAGCCATACCTGGCAAGCAGTGTTCCGGGTAGCCCTGCTGTGCTGGGAAAGCACTGTATCCCTCAGGTGTGCGGAAAACCCAAATGTGGAGCCAGGAGAGGTGAGGAGCCCTAAAAGTTACCTGGGGATGCCACATTAATTCAAAGAAGTAGACCATCTTATGTGTGTTGGAGACACAGTCAGGAACAATGTAATATCCCTGATCTCAAGGATTTCATGGCCTTGTGAGGGAAACACCACACACTGGCCTCAGGACCATGCAGACAAGAGTACAGAGTTGGCCATCAACTGCACTCAGCATAAGACACCTATGGCCACAGTCCTTCTTCATGCTCAGAGAGACATCCACCTACAACTTACAAACAGTTGTAAAGTCATGTATTATGGGCATTTAATACTCCTCAAGAAATGGGAAAAAACTATGTTATATGCATTGATGAATGTGTCAAAATGAACCCTACTATTATGTATAACTAATACACCAAAATTTCTAAAATTTTTTAAAGGATACAGGTAAAAATAAACTGGCAGAAATGAAAATTACTATAGTAGTAGAAAAAATAAAAGGCAAAA